AGTATATGGTGGCCAAAATCAAATTATCATACAGTATCAAATAGATTTTATGCTAGAACTACATGTATAATGGACAAAATTTCGCACACAAAAACTAGGTAAGGTATGTATCACTTTAATAGCTCACTATGATGACGAACTGAATATTAAAAGAATATAGACAGCACAGATCAGAAACATTACATAGATTCATCATAGTGAAAAGTTGATTTTGAGTGGTTCAACTACATGTCGTTCGCTGAAACCAGAGTGGCATTACCTCATAAGGTGGAGTGTGTGCGCGCGCGTGTGTGTGTGTGTGCGTGTGTGTGCGTGTGTGGCGAGATATATTTGTTGGGTTGGTAGGTAGTTCATATAGAATACAAATGTGTAATACTATCATTTTCATGGTGAAGTATGTTACATTTATGTCAAGATCGGGGGGGGGGGGGCGAGTACTAACTTTAGAAAAGATGAAAAAAAAGCATTTTTAAGTATAGGGATGAGGAAAAGAAAATAGCAATTAAAATGGGAAAGCTGGGATCACATTTCTTAAAGTGGGAGCAGCTTAAGATTAATTAAGATTTGTTTTCTTCTCCACCGTGAGCCTGTTAAAAGGGTAACTCTATTTTGCGGCCTGGATAACTTATTTAGTATATTTTTCTTGAGTTGAGAATGTTAGCAGACATCCACTGAGTGAGTAGTGTGGGTGTGTGTTGGGGGGGGGGGTGGGGGTGAGTATGTGTGTGAATGGGTGAGTATGTTTGTGTGATGGAGGGGGGCAGGGAGGGGGCAGGATTGTTCCAGTAAAATTACCTCCAGATTTGTTTAAGTTTTTTTTTAAATATAAGTAAATAACATTTACAATTGACATATTATGTTTAGGTACTTATACGTTTACTTTGTTGCTAAGTTATATATACTGCAAATAAGTTTGTGTTTAATTATGTTTCTGTAAAAGCATCAGTATTGAACACGTTTATTTTATTCAATTGTATGTTATGGTTTGTATTACACATTTGGAGAAATAAAACAAAATTGTTTTTAAAAAAAAGTTTTAAAAAAAAGTATGTGTGTGTGTGTGTATGTGCGTGTTTTTTGTGTGCGTATGTGCGTGTGTATGTTTGTGTGTAGGGGGCGGGTGCTTTAGGGAGCTTGTTGGTGCTTTAGGGGAGATTGAGGGTTCTGGTATTCATTTGTACATGTTGTCAATCCAATTCAAATGCAGGGATGCCAGTAAAACTTGATAAGAGGGCCTGAAAATCACCTAAAATGAGCTATATTGTACACACAAACAAATCCTAAACTATAGCCTGAGAATAAACCGCCAGGGCCTGAATTCAGGCTTTTGCCCGAAAACTGGCATCCCTGCAAATATTATTGATTATAATCTAAACAAATAGAGTCTTTCTTAAATTTTCATAACGGATAACAAATTTAAAATTATATTGTAATATATAGATATTTGAGTGCAAAAGTCTTAAATTGCTACATGTACCTTGCTCAAATTCATTTATAATCAAGAATTGAAAGGGGAGTGTGGGGGTATTGAGCCCCAAACCCAGTCTAGAACCTATGTGGTTTCGCTCTTTAATTTGAATACAAGAGTTCTGACATTTACGAAAACGGCGAAATAAAGACAGATGGCGCTGTTGACAATCACTATTCAGGATAAATACAAGCGATTGACGAACTGCATGCACATATTAGTTCCCCATCTGAAAATGGATGATAATTTGATTTTTATCAAAGTAAGAGAGAAAAAGGTCCGCTAGATTTGAATGTGTTATTTCAGGCCTATCTATATAGGCCTTCGAGTCATTCAGCCAGTCTGCTGTTCATAGCACACTGGTAGGCTTAAAACGCTTACACGGGAAAGTTCTCAGATTAATGCAAAGCGTCAGTAGCCTGGCACGATTAAAAGTCTTCCATTGCAATCTACAAAGTCTCTAGGATTTTCACCTACAAATTTCACTTCTTCATCGTTCATTGGAGACCCGACTGAACACAGTATAAACATAATGAAGACGCAAACGAGAGTAAAATTGATTGTTAATCACATCGTATAATGAATACAAATAAGTTGTGCCATATCATATTATATACAAATTGTACACACTGTTTTTCCCCCTATTTCTTAAAATATATGCATGTATTACAAAATTACTGTTTCTTTTAGATCAATTTATTAAAAAGGAAAGTTTTATCAAACAGTCATGTGCGATATAGCAATGGTATACTTTTGGTGAATGAGGAAAATATTTAGGATGTAATAAAGAATGCGTGCAAGATCAAGCGAGAGGGGCAACGAAAAGAGAAGATATCCTACAATATGGGCCTTATACTTATACTTTGTACTCATAAACTCGTCTGCACACAGACGTAAAACTGTTATTAATATTTATATCATTGATCAGTAGATAATTGCGATTTAAAATTACTCTTCGCTCATGCTGGGCCTTCATTATGGAGTGCTCTCCCTCAATGGATTAAGAATAGCAGTTCTGCTGAAATGTTAAAAACAATCTTAAGAAATATCTGTTTAATTTAGCTTATAATTGATTACCATAACCTTTCATGTCTGTACCTTTCCTATCGCACTTTGTATAAATGTATCATGTATGTATTTCATCCTTTGCACAAGCTGCGCCTTGAGCATTTGACGCCTTATAAATCATATGTATTATTATTATTATTATTAAATTATTAGAGAAAGAAGACGATTCGTTGTACTGTTCTCGACTATTAATCCTTGTTTGAATGAAGTTCCCCTTCCTCCGCACGTAACGCGGAAGCTCTGACGTTTCGTAACATTATTAAAGAAAGAAGACGATTCGTTGTACCATTCTCGACTCTCATTTCTTGTCTGAATTCAGTCCCCCCCCCCCCCTCTCGCGCGAAGCGCGGAAGCTTTGACGTTTCATTAAATTATTAGAGAAAGAAGACGATTCGTTGTACCGTTCTCGACTCTTAATCCTTTTTTTTGGGGGGGGGGGGTGACCGCCCCCACCGCCCCCCTGGCTACGCGCTTGTATAAGTTAGATATGAAGATGTGGACTAACTCATTCACTAAATCAATTAATGATGATCAATTTAATTCATTTTGATATGGCCTTAATTCAACTTCAGCAATTTTAATGATTCATTTATAATGATAATAATAATATTTCAGTTTTATATAGCGCGTAAAGTCATCTACGATGTCTCAACGCGCTTTACAGATATACTATTACCCCGGTCATTGGATTCAATACTTGCCCACACACTGTGTGCACAATCTCCACTCCCTGGGGAGCATTTCAGCCAGGCGTTTCTTGACGCTCAAAAACTGTTTGACCAACAATGACGGTCACATCCTATACCGGGTACCCACCTGGAGAGGAGAGAGAGAGAGACAGAGAGAGAGAGAGATTTATTCATTCCATTCAATACAAAACATATATGTATATAAAAGATAATACAAGTGTAAAAAAAAGAAAAAGAAATACAAGTTATACAAACATCAGAATGTCACTAATCAGTACATTTAAAGGTAAAGAAATCAAAAGGAATTTGGGTCACTGCAAAAGTTCAAATAAATTTGAACTTGTCGAGGCTGTGCCAAAGGATCAAGCACAGGATAGGTGCTTGCTTTCAATTTCATAATTGAATCGTATCGTGTATCGTGCAATATCTCTCATATTTCTCGGAATGAAATGTGAGGAGTAACATGCCAATGGGCAACAGGGAAGAAATTTCGCTTTTGTGAAACTTCTACCATATGTCATTCCTTATGTACACTGTATCTTTTATCTACTGATTTGTATAATACGAGTTGAATTTTCATGGCCAAATAATAATAATAATTTAATCAAATGGCAACCACCTGGCATGTCTGGTATAGATTTTATATCTAGGTTATTGACAGAGAGTGTTAACAATCTTTATTTTAAAAAACCAAGTCACACGTGCCTGTGTTTGTGAGAATTAATTAATTTCCCTAAATTATATTTTTGTTGTTTACAAAGACTATTTCAAATCGGTGATTGTTAACCATCAGTTAGCAGAGCATAACATAATCAAATTATTTTTGATAATGATTAGAATTAAAGGATGGAAACCAAATCTTTAAAGACAAATTAAGAACGAAAATTCATTGCCAGACATGTGTATCGGATCCTTTTTTATATTTTCACTCTTATTAGTATTAAAGCAAAATGTAGTATCATGGAAAACACATTTAATGATTGGTTACAGTTAGCGTACCTCATTGTTAAGTTATAATTTTTCTACGAATAAAGAACAAATGAAAATATGAAATATGTCTTTCAGGGTTGTTGTTGTTGTTGTTGTTTTGTTTTTCTTCTTTTTTCTTTGATGCAGGTCTATGGTATTGTATCGAGTATCAAGGTTTGTCGATTTTTGTTTGAATTAGATAAAATATATGCTGTAAAATAAAAAAAAAGTTTACTACTGTCGATTATCAAGATCAGTGGTGCAGATGATAAAATTACAGATCGCAATTTCGACATCTGACATCTCTGTCTCTTAAACATGGACCTCTAAAATGGGTATAACCATGCAATCAAAATCTTAGTTATTTGGAACAGAAGGCAAAACTCTTCCTTCAGGCTTATTTTGTTTTTAAGTGTTTTCAACACACATTTTGTCAGATTAATGAGTTTGCTAATGTGGCGAAGCGTGGATCCAGGCAATCATTGAGGGGGCACTGCGTTCTTTCTTTCTTTTCCCTCTCCCTATCATTTCTCGCAAATCATTAGGGGCACTACCTTCTGCTACGCTAATTTAACACGATTATGGACAAACAGGGATGCACTGTTAATATTTGCAATGTGAATGTTTGGTCATGTAATTAAAATGCGTTCAAGTATTTACTTATTAAAGTTGGCAAATAATTTTTACGAAATGAAAATTGGAAGTAATTTATTCCAAAACAAGGATGACAAGTAGGCCTGTATTCGACAGGTATAATTTTGTATAAATAGACCAAGCACTAGGAATATAATCCCATAGCACTTCTTATTCACCTGAATATCTATCAGTTGAATACTAAGATGAAGAGAGCCTTTGCAACAAGCGTCTTGTTGACCTGTTTGGTTGCCGGGATACTCGGCAAGCCATTAACTAAGGAGTCAGAAAAGGTATCCATTGGGACACAGCTTCGTTTATAATTTAATGATTAAGATATACCTTAGATATATAAGAAAATGGAAATCATTTATCAACTGTTTTCTCGATTTTTGTTTCTGTAAAACATTTTCGTGTGACACGATTCCTTTTTCTGGTTAGTTTTTAGAATTTGTCAAGTTTTAGCCCATTCTGTCGATGATCAACGTCTGGCGCATAAAGTATTTTCAAACTATTTCAATGTTAAGCTAATGTCCATGGTACACGAAGCGTCATCTCTATTGCGTTATTATCTACCATAATCGAACAATCAACGCCGCAACGTTTAAAATTGTGTATTGGCTTAACGCGTTTACCTTTAACATTACAATGTTCTATGTTGCATCACGATCTAGGAACGTCCGAAGAGGAAGCTGGAATTCAACGGTCAAGTCGTTTACGTACCCGTTCAAGAGAAATTGGCTGACCCGTTCTCAAGCAAGATACCTGGTGATGAACAGAAGACGGATATGATCCTGAACGAAGAACAGATAGAATATATTCGGCAGGAGAAAGAGGAACACAAAGATGGACGAACCAAGAGGAAGGCCGTGAGGGATGTTTTGAAAAGATGGACCAAAGTCGGTGGGGACGTCATTGTGCCATACATCATGGATAGCCCAGGTAAGTTCGAGTTTCGACTAAGACACGTCTTAAACTAAACAACAACAACAACAACAACGACTAAACCATTTATTTTCCATTTCTTAATTCCAATCCAAGTAACCTATCCCTACTTATATGGGGCCATTGTCATACCCAAAGCCCATCACACACTATACGATTCAACTGCGATTCTATTTTCGAAAGAAAAGAAAAAAAAATCGCGATTACATTGTGGGATTTAAACATATCCGATCTTCAGGATAGAGGTTCATTGCGATAATACGACCAGCGCTCAAAATACACGGGGCGGTGGGTGATTCGCCCCCGTAAGCTCCATAATCGCCCCCGTCAGGTTGCTCACGGGGGCGATTGCAAAATTAAAAACCGCCCCCGTGGAATTATAAAATGAAGATTATCTTTTCTGATATAACTTTAACACAATATTGATTATCAATATTGAGTATAAATTGTCAAACCTTAAATCAATCAAATGGAACTTAGATGGCGCTATCTCTCCCACCTCTATGAATATTACCGATACAAACTATACTGCGCTGAAAGTACCGGTGGGCACGCTGACGCCCAATATCTGCTGGAGCTGGAGACGATCGCGCAAGGACTGAAACATGGAGAAGTTTTTCGTTGTGAAAAGTGTGAATCCTCTGAAATCTGGTTATTCTAAAAGACCAGCAAATAATGTAACTCGACCAGTAAATCAATATTGAGAAGAAGATCACCAATGAAAGATGTTGCAGGGACGGACTCGTTTAGGGGGTTTAACCCCCCCCCCCCCCTTGGGCTGCCAAGAGAAAATGTGACGTGATAGGAAAATGCTATCATGTGTCCAGACCTACACTAGTAGATGTCAGTAGATGCCAGGAAAACATCATTAACGGGGGTTCAAAATAGCAACAACAAAAATCGCCTCGCCGCTATGCGGCTCGTGGACGATGCTCCACATCGTATTTGGGTTACCCCCCCCCCCCTTACCAAAACGCTAGATCCGCCCCTGTGTTTTGGAAGGATATAGTAAAGACTAAAAGTAAAGAAATAATGTAAATAAGGTTGCTCCGAATAATAAGGAGGACATTATGTGCAGAACGGGAAGAAATGGAGAGAATGTCATCACGGGGATAAAAGTCAATAACAGCTATGTAACAAGTAAATTTCTATTAAGAGGGAAAATGCCGACTTAAATAAATGATAATGATAAAATACCAAGAAATTTAGGAGTTTCATGGGTACCAATTCAATGGAAATTTGTATTAAAAATAAGAGCCCCCGTCAGCACTAAAAGAGCCCCCGTGAGAAGGCTCACGGGGGCTCTTTTTTTTTTGGAAGAGCCCCCGTAGACAAAAAAAAATTAATTTGAGCCCTGAATACGACTGTTTAAAATTACAATCCTTGTGTGGAGTAAAGGACATTTAAGCGTCAAATCGTAGACAATCGAATGACAGGTCTGACGTCACTACGTGCCTGTGCCTGCAAGCTCAGTGTAGAAACAAATGCCTACCTTCCTCGTTTGCAGATGGACCCCCCCCCCCCAACAACAACAACAACAAAAACAGGGGGAAAACGAGGAAAAAACGAGAAAAGAAATATTTTCTAGCTCACAATTTTCGAAACGATCGCAACTAATGTAACTAATCTAAGCGATTTCAATGGCCTTGCGATTCACGTTTTGAAATGTGTGAACAGAACAATCACATATTACGTAATCCTAACATGATTGGTAGGGGGTATGCAATGTCTTCTAGAGTTGATTTCTCGAAAGTCTTTGCAACCTCAAAACACTATTGATCTAACGTGAGAAGTAATACGCAAGATTCGGCAGCACAATCAATTTTGGACACCCCCCCCCCCAATCCGGCCCTCCTCCCCCTATGTATCAGGAATATATAACATTGCCTTCACCTGATGATTTTTGTTTTGTGAAACTAAAAATTATTAATAACAATTTTGTATGCAGACATTCATTGTGCATTAGCGACTTTTTAGATGATTATGATATTGTATCACATTTTCAACTCAAATCATAAATTCTTTGCATATTTCGTTTATCATGATACTCGATATAGCTGATGATATACCATATATCTACGCAGCAATGGATCATTGGTCGACTAAGACATGTGTGAAGTTTGAAACTTACTCTTCGGATCGTTCCTCAACACTGGGTCACAACCAGTGGCTTCGTTTCCATAAGGCGGATGGGTAAGAAGCGATATTTGCTTTTCTCTCACTAAACTGAACATAAGGGTGTCGATGGAAGATGGGAAGGGACGGGTCGACAAGGATTTCTTATTATATTCGGCATCAACAATTTATTGTTTGTTGGTGTGTCCGTGTGTATGTGATTGAATGAGGGTGGATGTATGTTTGTTTTGAATAGTATTACAATATTTGTTATTATCATTTGCTTCTTTGTTTATTTTTGTACAGGGCCCCGTTTTCATAAGCTTTGCTTATGTTGGGGTCCTTCAGATTTCGCTGTTCATTTATTACGTATTGTTTACTTTGAATTTTAATGGAAAATAAATGAAATGAATAGAATTTAATTGGTTTTTGATTGTTTGAAAGTGTGTCACATGATAAAAAAATTAATACATTATTTTCCCGAGCCGTTAATATAACCTCAACTTAGTACTATTTACGGCTGGACGATTTTTCTTTTTTTATACATTTTATTAAAATTGTAGAATGTTTACATGTTTTTTTTTTTTTTTTTTTTTTTTTTTTAATCAACTAATTTTTTTTGTTGAAAATTTTGTTGAAGCAGGATATAAAACAAATATACCCTGCCTTCTTTCCGAGCTCCTGGTTGAAACTTTCAAGACAGTATATATTTGTATACTTTATCCATCATTTCAATTTAGTCGGCAAATGTCTAGGGTTTTTTGGCAAATAAAGTGATTGTACCCTCGTCAGCACTCGACAGTTTGAAGAAAAAAGAAGAAAATTAACATATATGTTTTGCTTGTTGGCACTGATTTTCTTCAACTTTGATTTGATTTGATTTGATGTTTATTAATTCCATTATATCAACCTATTTTACATTAACAAGCATAAGCTAGTCCGAGAAAATTCATGCAGTGCTTATGGTAGATTTAATTTGTCAATAGATCTTTTTTTTTTTTAATCGGTGCTTTTCCTTCATGTCTTTATAATAAAAACAAGAAATCAACTCCGAAAAAATGGAGCATTCTCCCAAAGGTAATTATCAAAGATTAAACAGACATTTTTTGGTTAAATTTTGGGAAAATATCAGACTTTTGACGACCTGTCCGAAATTAATACATTTCTTCAATTTCAGGTGCTCGTCATACGTCGGTAGGCAACCTACAAGCAAAATGCAACCACAGCCTATAACACTTGGAACTGGGTGTTTAGAAGTAACTTAAGCTATGGTCACATTACCTAATATAGCCTGCTCGGCGGTTGGGCGGCGAGTTTTGAGCCAATTTCGCCCAGGCACCTAGCGAAGGCCGCCCGGGCACCGCTTGCTTTTAGGGCATCGCTCGGTCGCTGCTGAAGTTTTAGCGCGGAGTTATAATTCGGGCGGCGCCTGCTCACTTTCACTCGATGGCCTTTCACATGCCCGGGCGGCGAAATTTTTATTCCCAAACAGGTTTGCAATTTCTTATATTTCCGTTCTTCTCAATGGCTGATATGTTCTACGTCATTAGCAGCTTGGAAAGAGGTCACAAACAATTACACTTTGATTTTGTATTGCTTTGCCTCACTATTTATAAAGGCAAAAAAAACTGAATAAACTGAGACTTGAACCCACAACTCTAAGGTTGTAATACGCTGACCTTAATAATAATAATAATAATAATAGCTAGTTCTTATATAGCGCTTTTCAAGACCAGAGGCCCTCTCAAAGCGCTTTACAGATATATATATATTATTACCGATTGAGCCAACGATGGGTTGATGAAAATGATTCTGCGTGATTTAGCATTGGCAAACCTGCATTGGCAAACCTGTTTGGGAAGAAAAAAATTAGCGCCCGGGCGGTCGCCGTCCGGACACCGACCTAATCGAGCGTTCGCCGTCGAGCGATTTAAGTAAAAAATCGAAGCCGCTAGTTCAAAGGCTGCCGACCGATTTTGGACTCGCCGCCCAGTGACGGACTGATCTCCCAGCTGCAACCGGGCGGCGACCGGGCGGCGACTGCTCGACAGCCTTTGACCTAGCATCTTCGATTTTTGACCTAAATCGCTCGACGGTGAACGCTCGATTAGGTCGGCTTGGTGGCCCGGCAAAATTGGCTAAAAACTCGCCGCTTGGCCGCCGAGCAGGCTACTTTTTGGTAATGTGACCATAGCATTAGACCAAAAATCAAAGCCGCTAGGGCAAAGGCTGTCGAGCAGTCGCCGCCCGGTCGCCGCCCGGACGCCCCTGGGAGATCAGTCGGTCACTGGACCGCGAGTTCAAAATCGGTCAGCAACCTTTGACTTAGCGGCTTTGATATTTTACTTAAATCGCTCGACGGCGAACGTTCGATAAGGTCGGTGTCCGGGCGGTGAACGCCCGGGCACCGAGCGTATTTTGGCGCCCCGCCGATCGCCGGCCAGCTGCCGGGCAATTTCCTTATAATTAGCCGGTGGCCGGTGGGAGACCGCTCGGGTATCGGTGGGTCATCGATCGGTCACTGCCGGGGCGCCGCCCGGAGAAGCTCTCCGATTTCGCCCAGTTTTGACCCAAAATCGACTGGCGACCGACGGGAAATCGACAGGGCACTGCCCAGGCATCGCTGCGGCTCTACAGCCTGCTCGACTTCTCCAAAAAATCGTTTGGCGATGCCTAAATTCCAGCGGCGACCGAGCAGGCTACTAATCCGTTGGTCGCTGCTCTGATTTGTGACCATAGCTTTACATGGAAAGACGAATACCGTGCTTACATGGGATTGTTTGGATATGCATGGAGGTATACCCTAGTTACACCAAGGAGAATCTCTTTGGTTACACCAACGAGACAGGCACAAGACCCACAACAGGCCGACTATTCAAAGGATAACAAGTCATTTTCTTGAATGGTCAAAAATCGGTCGGTTTGGCGGTTTAACTGGGGTATGCTTCCTATTTTCATATTAGATAAATAACATATTACTAGAGCAAATACTGTAACTTAAGGGGGGTTAGCCGGTGGGCTCGAGGATTGCAACCAAAATAAGTGGGACAATGATGGTTTTGCTCCCTTATTCAAACTCAAGAGATGAAGCGGTTGAAAGGTTGTAAATAGAAGACCATAGGAACGAAACATCTGTATAAAGCGAGGGGGGGGTGGGTCAGGGGCTACTTCAAGTTTCGATGTATTTAATTTCCCTTCAGATTAAAACAAAAAATCTGCCTCAAACTCTCAGTAAAATTAGCATCTAATCAGAAAGATACCGGTACAAAATAATGAAATGCTGTCCGTTATGCGGTATCATTGAACTTGAAGACGCTTAAAGACATTATTTTGCACTTGTTTTCAGTTAGGAACCATAGCTCATGAGATCGGGCACTCAATGGGATTCGAACATGAGCAGTCGAGACCAGACCGCGACGACCATGTCGAAGTTTTTTTGACCAACGTCGAGGCAGATCAACAACACAATTTTGAGAAGGAGTCACTTGAAGACGTTATGGCTAGCGAAGTAGTCAAATATGATCTCAAATCTGTCATGCATTACGGACCATACGTAAGTATATAGTCTCCGGATATTTTCATGCATTAAACAAAAATCTCCATCCTTTTATTCGACAAAAGAATGATTTTGTTAATATAAACAGTTTTTGAATAATTTGTTTATATCAGTGACGTTCGAAAAAAACTTATTTCTAGGTTACCTAGAAGTGCATATCCAGATGGCCAAGAAGAACAATAGCTCGTAAGAACGTTTCGTGAAGCTTCAATTTCTTTGAGTTTTGGCAAGACTGAAAGACTGTCATAGACCATCGGTCGACTGGCCGGATTTCCTAATAGTAGAATACTGCTGCAATCCGAGGCACCTCTGAAAACCAAGAAGATTCGAGGCGAGCATCGACGTTATATACCTACTGTATATACCATTATATACCTACTGTATAGTCTACTATGTAAAGGGGCCCCGTTCGCAAGCTGTGCTTCACTGGGGTCCCAAACCTATTATTCTTGTGTTCTTTGCTGTTATATCTTGTACCATTGTTTATGTTTGATTTGGTTTGAATAAACTTGATTTTGAACTTGAACTTTCCTTGGTAAAATCCAATCCACTGCCCTTGTATTGGAGCCTGCAAGCGGGTAATATGGGGCCCTAAGGGGTGGGGGTACTGAGCATACTTTGGTGTGTCTGTTACTTCGGGAGGCCTCATGAGGGCATCGTCAAAGATGAACAAGAGAACAAAGATATCGAGTGGGGGAACAATGGGGAAGGATGCATATTAGGAAGTGGTCCTTTTTTTTATATATTGACCTCCCACTTTCTCTTTCTCTCCTCATCTCTCTTTCTTTGATTTGTTTGGTTTTTTGTTTATTTCACTAATCAATTGGGGACATAATTTGTACGGGGACCTAGGAGTGAGGGTGCTAAAGAAGATTCACTTCCCATCAATAAGTAGGTGATATAGGGGGCTGCAGCTTAAAGAGAAAGGGCACCTTAAAGGCGTGATAATGTGTCCACCTTTTCGCATGCTTGTCAGTATTATAAAAGAAAAAGGCATCCTTCAACACCTCAATGAAAGAGTCGCTTCAAGATAGCCTATATGCCCTTTTCCAACAGCACTGGTGAATTCCGCCTACTAATGATATATTTGGTAAATTATTATATCTATCCGGACTGGATAAATATAGCGTAGTCCCATATACAACTTTCTGTTTACAGTGCTTGTAACTTTACCAAGACTGGGCCAAATTTCTTATCATTTTGATCGTTCCAGAACCTTGCAGTACACACCAATACTTGCTAGATGACCAACCTTTTCTGATCGATTCCACAAGTTTCTTTCACAATGCATTCGCATGACAAGAACTGTTCTATACTTTTAAAATGGGCAGTACAACTTGAAATCAAAATGTAAATCTTCGTTTTCATCTTCTTTTAAAATACACCTGTATTGGTACATTCAAAATATCTCAAGGACTTTACTCCGGGTTAATATCAATTATTTATATCGCCACACAGGGATTCGCCATCAATAAAAACATGCCGACGTTGGTAACAAAGCGACCATTCGACATGCAGTATATCGGTCAAAGGTCTGGTCTCAGTTTCTACGATGTCAAATTAGCGAACTATATCTACAACTGTAATTCTACTTGTGACCCCCTTCTTGACTGCGCCAACGGAGGCTTTGTAGACAAAACATGCACATGTCAATGCCCCCTTGCTTGGACGGGGGCGCTCTGCAACGAAAAATCAAATGTACCCGAAACAGGTGAGTTGCGTAATACTATTTAGTAGTAAGCTGGGTACAGTTTCGCCTTTTGCCGAGGGGGAGGGGGGGGGGGGGGGGAGGGGCGGTGACGCATATTACCCGTATTTCAAATCTCAGTTGTCTAAATTTGGCAACAACAATAACAATACAGATGACAATAACAGAAACAACAACAAAATGATTTATCAAAGCGGGTGTTATTTTCTCATCTTATAATTAAATAAGCCAAAATTATGTATTTAGGAAAGACATTTAGGCACCTATATGCCTGATTTTGGAATTAAAACAAAAGAACAAAAACTGAACACCAGCCTTCTTGCCTCATAATTACCTTCAATATGTTGCTCGGTCCAGCAATATTACAAAAGAATACCGTTGTGGGCCACCGAATATTACATACCCATGCTTCACCTGCATGGTGGTGGAATATTTTCACAATAATCTCCCCATTCATGGATAAGTTTTATACTTCATTATTCTTGTTTGATGTAATAATGATTTTGTTTGTTTTAATTCAAAGTGATGACAGATAATTCGAGCGAGCGAATCGAACTAGTAGATATTGATGCTTTTATTCACATCAGCAGACATTGATACAGGATTATGAATCCACTTAATTGTAAAATAAAGAGAACTGATCATGTTATTATAGTCTTTAAAACAAATCATAAGTCGATGAACAGAAATATGTTCCTGCGACAATTATTTCCGGGTTTATTGACAGGTTTAGAGTAAGGTTTACAGTGTTGGATCCAAGGTTGACGTAAAAAATTCGGGTAGTTTAGGAAATTGACGCGGATCATGTCGTCCAAACTATTAGACTTCATCATATACTCACTTAAGAAATCCAGCCATTTGATTGGTCGAAATTGGAGTCGTGATTTTAGCCATTTCCGTAAAGGAACGAAAATGCCCGAACCGGTCAATAGTCCAAAAGTGAGATCCCTCAAAATTCCGGTTACCATGCAAACAATTACATTTTGCTGCGATACCCATTGGTTTACGTGTTAAAATGTTCTTTGAGCGAGCGCGGACACCATACAGTGCTTTTTGTCTGCGATTCCCAACTGATCGAAAATTTCAGTCATTTTTCCAGCAAAGATAAATAGACAGTTTCACAGATTTTCCGTAATGTTAATTAACCAATCTTTTCGAGAACTTGCACTTCTTGCCATGACCCAGAGGGGCGCCGCCCACCCATGAGCCATTATTCTTTTCTATAAAATTGTATTAATCAAACCCCGACCATGATGCGTCATATTATATAATGTCAACTTAACATTCTCTTTCTCTCTGCTCGTTCGAAAAGGAATATACTGTTTTTATTTTTCTCTCTCCTTCTCTCTCTCTCAAAGTTACTGAGATCACCAGAACTGAGCCATCTGGGGAGATCACATCCCCTGGCTATGAATCGGGACAGTACTCCATAAACTCAGCCAGCATGATTTATATCGTTGTGAGTTAAACTATCTCTGCTTTCTTCCTGCCCACCAAACCGACTCTAAACCGTCTCCAAACTGACCGATTCCTGGCCATTTGTAAGAATGTAATATTTTGCGTGGTCTGTTGTCTATTATGCAGATGGTAGAATAATTATTAAGAAAAGAGGCACTTTATGCAGATCACGGTAGAGTATAACATGTATTTAGGAGTTATAATTTCCACTCTAACTTCACACACTTCTAACACAAAAATTATCCTGAAGGAATTAAGCATATTTACTGTTTATGTGGCAACACTGGAAATATTACGACTAAATTGTTAAAGCTAGCCTTGTCTTTAATTTCAAAGGGCCAACCTGGAGCTACGATTACATTAACGTTTGACGCATTCGATATGGAAGATCCAGGCAGTCTCGGGTGTTGGGACTACGTTCAGGTCAACAAGGATGACCCGCGATACGGAGGCGAGAAGTCTTGTGGAAACCAAATACCAGCCCCAATCGTAGCAAAAGATAACATTATGATCTTGTTCTACTCCGACGAAACATATACCGGCAAGGGATTCAGGGCCAATTTTACCATTGATCAACCACTAACCGAAGCACCTGTCGTAACTACCAGAGCACCAACCACACCTGTAGTAACTACCGCAGCACCAACCACATCTGTAGTAACTACCGCAGCACCAACCACACCTGTCGTAACTACCAAAGCACCAACCACACCTGTAGTAACTACCAAAGCACCAACCACACCTGTCGTAACTACCAAAGCACCAGCCACACCTGTCGTGACTACCAAAGCACCAACCACACCTGTCGTAACTACCGCAGCACCAACCACACCTGTAGTAACTACCAAAGCACCTACCACACCTGTCGTGACTACCGAAGCACCAACCACACCTGTAGTAACTACCAAAGCACCTACCACACCTGTCGTGACTACCGAAGCACCAACCACACCTGTAGTAACTACCAACGCACCATGTACCACACCTGTCGTAACTACCAAAGCACCAACCACACCTGCAGTAACTACCAAGGCACAAACCACACCTGTAGTAACTACCAAAGCACCAACCACACCTGTCGTAACTACCAAAGCACCAACCACCCCTGCAGTAACTACCAAGGCACAAACCACACCTGTAGTAACTACCAAAGCACCAACCACACCTGTCGTAACTACCAAAGCACCAACCACACCTGTCGCAACTACCAAAGCACCAACCACACCTGTAGTAACTACCAAAGCACCAACCACACCTGTAGTAACTACCAAAGCACCAACCACACCTGTCGTAACTACCAAAGCACCAACCACACCTGCAGTAACTACCAAGGCACAAACCACACCTGTAGTAACTACCAAAGCACCAACCACACCTGTCGTAACTACCAAAGCACCAACCACACCTGTAGTAACTACCAAAGCACCAACCACACCTGTCGTAACTACCAATGCACCAACCGAAGCACCAACAACTGAAGGTATACCAAAGACTTCTTGTTCTCTTTTTATCATGGAAGCTGAAACTTGTCAATTGTATAGAGTATAATAGGTACACCCTCTTAGACCGGTCAGATATGACGCGGTAAACCGTCGGGAAAAACGAAGGAAAAAACGCCACATTTAAAAAAAAATGAATGGCAACTGCGAGCAACAAACGTGACAAAATTGTCCTACGCGTATTCACTGAGCTCTGTGCTAAAAAAAAGAGGAAATTTGAAGCTTATTACACTATTGCACGCCATTATGATTTTTTTTTAATTGCCGCGATTTCCGCTGCATATCTGAACGAGGCTTCAAAATTCTAGATACTGGATTATCTTCCTTTTTATGAATTGCTTCCTGGGCTTTCCAAAATGGTCTTTAAAATGTAAATCCTGAAATACAAGTACATGTACTCTTTATAGAGTGCTTGAGCCCAGGAATGTGTCGGTACAACAATTCTCAAATTACATAATGGGGGAATGCCTGTGCCAAACAAACCATGTGTACCACTAGATTGCTGACAAAATCGTTGCTTTCTGAACATTTATTTAAATATTTGATCAGGTAATCCAAAATAGAGAATGGAGCACACTAATAATATGTGTGAGTTTGAAATCGAATGACAAGGAATAATTATATTCACACTGCTAAACCGACAGATTATTAGCCAATCGGGATAAGGTAATTTTGTGTTTGGTGTGTTGTCGGTGTGATTATTATATACGTGTGTTCATATATATATTTATATACAAATGTGAAGCATGTTATTGACATCATCATCATTATCGTTATTATTATTATTATCTTTATTATCATTTGTATTGTTATTATTATTATTATTGTTCTTGTTGTTGTTGTTATCATTTATATGGAAATATTTGAGGGTGTCTTTTTACAAGGGGTGGGGCGGTTGGGCAATTCGACACTAAATGTATTCCCATACATCCACAGCCCTGTCTTAATAAACATTTACGATTAATCGTAAGTCATTCAATCAATCGTAAACTTTCACAAACAATTTTCTCTTTAGTACAGAGCAGCGATCGGTTTGAATCACATGCAATTGTTTATAAGGCGAGGCACAGAAGTACATTTATAAAATTACCATTGTTCATTTTCATTTCCCCCCTCAGCGCCACTGAGTACCTTAACATCCCCAAACTACCCGAATGCTTACAATGCCCGGGAAAATAAAGTCTACCGCTTTACTGCTGCTGTAGGCAAAAAGATTTATCTAAAGATCGATGACATGGACATTCAGGAGGGCAGTAATGGATGTGACGATGACTACCTACTCGTCGATCTCGGAGATACTGACGAGGTTTTGAAAACACGGTAAATAAATCAATTTTAAATGCATTAAAGAATAATGATTGTCTTGCAAATGTTAGTCTAATTTGATCCGAGTCGGTTGGATTTTCTAGATATTAAAAAAAAAAACATAATATGCAATATTTTATCAAAATGTAAAATCACTTCCCTTCCTCTCCTAAATATATAATAATGATATAATGGCAAAGTTGAATTGAGAGGGGCCTTATGCCATGATATAACGTATGACATCGTATTTTGGTGGTATATTTCAGACTGTGTGGAACCGGGACTAATGTTGGTCCATTCGAATCCGTGTCGAACACAATAAAGCTGACATTCATCACCGATGGATCCGAAGAGAGGAAAGGCTTCAAGGTATCCTACAAAATTATCACAGAATACACATGCGGTGAGACCTTCGGTGGGGAGTCCGGTATAGTCAAGTCCCTCAACTACCCCATACACTACCCCAAACAGATACTCTGCGATTACATCATTCAGGTAGAACCAGGAAAGGTCATTGAGTTGACATTCAAGGATATTGACGTTCAACAAGGAGCTTATGCTTGCCAGTATGACTGCCTGAAAGTGATTCAACTGGACCAAAATGACCAGGAAGAGACTCTATTGAGGTATGTAACTTACGTACAAACAAACATACTAACGTAGCTAGCTGAATATGTAACGAACGAGCTGTAACTAACTAAACGAATTAGCTATCTAACGCTTACCACTCGGACAACTACTCCCACCCCTCCCTCTCGGACACTAACCACTCGGACAACTAATCCCACCCCTCTCTCTCGGACAATTACCACTCGGACAACTACTCCCACCCCTCCCTCTCTCTAGAACACTAACCACTCGGACGACTACTCCCTCCCCTCCCTACCGGACACTAACTAGTCGGACAACTACTCCCACTTCTCCCTCTCGGACACTAACAAGTCGGACAACTACTCCCACCCCTCCCTCCCTCTCGGACACTAACCACTAGGACAACTACTCCTACCCCTCCTTCTCGGACACTACCTACTCGGACAACCTCCCCCCCCCCCCCCCCCCCCCCCCCCATCTCCCTCCGTCTCGGACACTATAACCACTCGATTCCAAACTGACCAATTTTATGCCATTGCTAATGTAATTGTTGGTTCGGTCTGTTGTCGATCACCGGGTTTTATCAAGCCCTATTTTTTCCCCTTCAAATCGGAATCATTTTTCGTTGTTGAAACACCCTCCAGGTATCGGTTTCGTTCGTATGACTGGGATATGAATTTACCAGAAGTCTTGAGATCAATCCAGATAGATCCGGATCAATTGCAACTTTATATATTTTTTTTATTCAAGACCCATATTCTCATCCTTTGATTGGTGCCATGATAGTCATAAATAATCACTGTCAACTGATCGAGAACTATAATGGACGGAAATTTCACACTGGAGCGCTTAATTGATTAACAGATTTATACATCATAAAAATTGTGATTGAATTTCGGTAAGGAGATCCACAAAGCAGTACACTCTAATTTGTATTATTCTATATTGATGATGCAGCCTGGACGGGACGTCTCCACCATCCCCAATTGTGTCTCGGACCAACCAGCTCACTCTTCGCTTATCATCTGATGCGTATGGTGGAGGCAAAGGTTTCCAGGTTTCATATCTTGCTATCTAATTCCTCAGTCACATCTTTAACTCGACTCCAAACTGACTCTAAACCGACCGGTTTTTACTCCATCATTATGACCATGCGGTCGGTCTGTTCTCGGTGTGGAGTCGGTCTCGCTGGTGTGACTATAGGTATTCATAATTTCTTCTTAACTGTTTCATTATTAATTGTTTAAGCTAAATTATATTTGAAATTCTATTCTATACTACCTTTTGAGGGCATTTAGATATTTTAGAAGAAGATTATATTGCTAATTTAAAGGGATTAATCCTTCATTATAACATTACTCTGAGTGGAAGAGGAAACAAAGTATTGAACAAAATGACCCCAAAAATATATTTAAAAAGAAGCTTTAAATCTTTTTAAAAGTCAAGGACAAATTATTATCATGAAGAAACTCCGAGCGGAAATTCAGCCACATTTGATATCATAAACGGAGACCAATCCTCAGATTTATTGTGTAAATCATTTTCAAATTTATTTAAATATCCCAATGCTAAATTCGTGATGGAACACATATATTTGACATGGTGTTTTGAAGATAACAGATTGTTATACCCTCTTATGTAAAATATATTCACTCTATCATAAACCTAAGAATGATAATAATGTTGTAGTAGTTCTATATAAATAGATAAATAATGTCGGGTTATCCTTAAATGACGTCACATACGCCCGCGTTGCCAAATGGGAGATCCTATAGTGCTCATTAGATACAAACAATTACTTTCGACTGTCTTATCTCAAACATGTTTTTTCCTGGAATTTAATTCCTCTTCAATATTTTACGTCGTAAGATAGTATTGTGTCCTCTATACACTTTAAACCATGACACATTGTAAATTTTACCCCAGAGTGGGCAGATTAAAAATTAACCGACAAAATTGCATGTTCCCTTTTATTTTTACCCAATATTGGCTATTATTTAGAGTGTGTATTCATTTCCTGTTTAATTATCTATTTGTCGTACTTAGTTTCTATCATAAGTAGTCATGTGATTTACTTGTTAGTGAATTAATTTAAAGGTCATCAGAATCAATGTAATAATAGGGAGTATTGAATAAATAGTAATTTAATAGAAAATATCTTTTGTCTATTGGTATTCATTCGTCTGCTGTTTGGACATTTTTCCATGTATGGCTTGCGTTTTGCTCAGAATACAGTTCGTTTGTTCATGCAGGGACATGGAAACCAATTTTCTACCATATTCACATTATCCTCAGTCGATAAGAGCAGCATTCTAAATGGTGAAAAGAGTAATCTTTACAATAACTTTACTTTTTATGTACATGCCCTCTCAAATAATTGCCTCGATTTTCGTCGGTTCGAATTAGTGTTCCAAATAGGGCTAAAATGTCGATCATTGTTAAAACTCGTTATCCGTTTTGTTCACTATTCTTCAGCGGCGGAGATTATTTTTCTCTTTGATCTACGTTATGGTGATAGAAATTATTCCAATGCAGCTATCAAATTTAGTCTTTGAGATTTTAGTATTCATTGTTGTTTGAAATAACAATGCCTGCATGTAGAAGCATAAGGTCATGCCTATATTGAATATGTAGGGCGGAACCAACACCAACATTTATACAATATTTAGATGAATAACAACATTAACAAAGATTTAGAAATGCGGTTTTAAAGAATAGTCTAGAATGAAAAGGAATTATAATTTTATATCAGTTATTATTCACAGGCGCGGTTCGAGATTTTGTCTTTGTTTGTGTGCATGTGTGTGTGTGTGCGTGTGTGTGTGTGTGTGTGTGTGTGTAGGTTGGCCTCAGGGTACGTGTGTGCGTGATGGTGTGCGTGCGTGTGTGTATGGATGTTACTTAATTATGCCCGATAGTTATCAGTATGTAATGATTCGACTTGAAGCAACCAAACTTAAGCCAGTGGAGCATGCTGTGTTTGAGCAAAGTAAGGAGAAATTGTGTAAATAGGCCGAATAGAAATCAACATGCGGAAGGAAGGTGAAAAGGTGAAGGACTAGAGAAAACAAGGCAGTTTATTTCAAGATCAACAGTGGGGAAGCTGACAGAGAAAATTATTCAACTATAAAGAGTTTTACAACTTGATATAGATTTTTCTAGCAAATGGACTTATATTAATCATGCTAATCACAAAAGCGGAAGAACCGTGGAGAATGGTGAAATAAGCATGAGTGTATGGAAAAAGGAAAAAATAAAGCACAAAAAAAAAGAAAACAGATCAAAATTGTAATGAGTCCAACTTCCATATAAATCATAGTGGGAAAATGAACAACAATAGCAACAACAACAAAAATCAGGAGACAAGTAATTTATGAATTTTTCATGTATCTGCTTTATTTTTTTAACTCTGGCTGGTTATATTGGTAGCTCCGCCACTTAATACTTATGAGCGCACTGAACGTCTTGAGCATTTCTGCGAAACGAATATGGTTCAAACACTTCAGGCTCAGCTATTTCATATTATATTTCAGTATTGAGGGCATCTTAAGAATGAAAAAAAGCTCAAAAGTAATGGTTACCTTTCCACGAACTCACCGTTCGTCCAAAGACACGTGACCAATATACAGGTATACTCTGATTATTGTTAGTCAGCAAACACAGACCCCAATTTGACATTTAAACACACTTCAGGGAAGTCTTGAGCGGAGCCTTGCTCTGGTAGTTCTGGTGCTTTATAACCATTTGGTCTACAACTCGACTAGTTCGTCTACTACCCAATGGGGCTCTTTCCATATGGTCTACACCCAGCAAGTCTACTATCCACATGGTCCAATAATCATTTCGTATACATATCATTTGGTATAATGACTTGATGATTATCATTATTTATGATTAAATGATTATTAGACCACAATGGATAGTAGACAAAACGGGCATTAGGCAAACTGGGAATTAGACCGACTGGCAATTACAGCAAACAAGTGGTAGACCAAATGTGTAGTAGACTTATTGGAGATTAGACCAAATGAAATTTGGACCAACTGACTATTAGCCTAAATGGTCATTAGACCTAATGATAAGTAGACGAAATGATTATGAGACCAAGTGGATAGTAGGCAGGCTGGGTGTATATCATAACGGGGATATATATAATATTAATTGGCTAGTGGACGAACTGGTTTTAGACCAAACGGCAATTCACCTCTCTCGCCATGTCAATAGCAGAGTCGGCATGGTCTCTTGGTTCAAACATTCTGCTACACTCTACTGCCAACCAACATATTGAATGTCGATATCATGTTCATCCTCATTCGGTTGACATCAATTTCAATTTTGCGGTCATCATATTTCTCCTCGCTTTTATTCACGTCATTCGAAAACCACTTGAAACAATAAATTATTTCAAAAGAAATCGATTACTTTATGAAAGCGTTGACAAATAGGTTTAGGAATGCCAATGGATACAGAATCAATACAGCCCTTTTGTGCTCATTTATTGGTAAATTGTTATTTTTATGTCATAGTGGTGCACATCTGTCTTTACGAGTTTATTTTGCATCTAACGCGATGTATTTAAAACACTTGTACTCACACATTACTAGTTACTATTTTCAGTGCATTTCAAGTCCTCTCTCTTTTTTTCTCTCTCTCTCTTTCTCTCTTTCTCGCTTTCTCTCTTTCTCTCTTTCTCTCTCACTCTCTCTTTCTCTCTCTCTCTCGCTATCTCTCTCTCTCTCTCTCTTTTTCTCACTCTCTCGCTCTCTCTAACTCTCTCTCCCCCTCTCTCTCTATCTCTCTCTATCTTTCTCTCTATATACTGCATGCCATGTGATACTAATTCTCACTTCTAAATCAAACCGTCTGTCTTTAAATTATATAATAATCATAACCACAGTTAGATAAAAGGAAAGTGAAATATTGTATGCCGAGAAAATTCAATTATCTCATCATTTACAAACATAAATGAATTATAATCATATACAAATTTTGAAATACAAACACATGTCTTGACTCAATGAGTGATTTCGACAAGAAAGAAAAAATACATTAATAGCATGCATGCCTGGCAGCCATACCCATTAGTCGAAACCACAACGCTAGCGATGACATTATTAGAAAGAGAAGGGAGGGGGGAGAGGGGGAGAGATAGAGAGAGAGAGAGAGAGAGAGAGAGAGAGAGAGAGGGGTGTTGGGATTGCACGCTTACACCATCTTCAATTATTTCTTTCCAGAAAATTTGGAACAGTAAACAACAACAATTTCCGAATTTGTATACCTCAAATTAACAACACTTAAGTTTGTCCTTTTTCAAATTTTCGACCCAAAATGGCACCTGGTAATGTAGTAACCTTGTATAGTCGTATTTATAATTCAACAAGCCATACATGAAAAAAGCAGCAGACGTTATTCATTGAAACATGAGTTTGCGGAAAGGTGTATTTATTTTTGTTTTAATCTGCAATTAATAGTTCAATCAAACACGTCTAATAGCTACGGATAGGATAACGAAAATTGTGTAATAATTGGTGTCATTAATCGATTAGGCGCCCCCAACCTAACAACGACAATCTAGACTGGGCACTTTCATCGCATAATTCTTGTTCAAATACTTTTACGTTCCGATGGGCGATTAAATATTCATACCTCAGTAACACCCACTAACGCAGTTGAAGGCGGGGCAAGGGGACAAATTGCACCTCCTGGTAGGCTGTCGGGGGAGGTGGGGGAAGGGGGGGTGCAGCCACTTTTAAAAACGTTAGGGTAAAGCAGGTTAGGGCATGATAAGTTAGGGCATGATAAGTCAATTCACGTATAAACGCACGTTTTTTTCAAAAAAACTGTTTCTTCCTAAAATAAAACCCAACCCCAGCAATGCAAACCAGGCACTTAAAATTATATTCCCTACTAATCTTTTACCTTTACTTATGAATGTTTGTTCAAAGCTACCTTTCCCTTCTCTAAATGTCTGGGAACAGACGCGTAGTTACAGGGGTATCGGGGGTGAGCCCCCTCCCCCATACGGTAGCGGAAATAAAAAAGAAAAAGGGAGAGAGAGAGTAGGAGGGGGAGTGTGGGAGGGGAGAGTGTGGGTGGGCGTATGTGCGTACGTGAGAGGGAGAGAGAGAGAGAGAGAGAGAGTCAAACAGACAGAGAGGGGAAGGAAGAAGGTATTAAGGAACTATCAATAGATGAAAAGAAGACGAAAGTATCCGCTCCAACTCCCTCCCGTATTCGCATTCCATAGACCTTTAGTAAGATTGCTACACCCTAACAATACCGATGTCCTTTTAAAGTACCTGTATCCACTGTGTGTCAATATATTCAATCTCTGAATTGTTTCTCTCAAATATATTACCGATAACCATATTTGTGCCAAAAACGCATTTCTGACAAAAGAAAATGGTCCTCTCCTCATTAGCTGTTTTTAGAAATATGAACAAATTTGATGTTAAGATAGCAGATCACCGCGTGCGGTGGACATTCTTCTCAAACTACAAAGAGATACCGCAAATCTCATCGACAGCAAATATGATTTATGATTCATGAATACATAATTCGTATATTCTTTATTTTTAAAGGACGAAATTAACAAACGGCTCATACTTTTTTTTAATTTTTAATATCACTGTATTCTCATGAAAGTCGAAACTAAAGGTTTTTTCATAATCTCTGCCCACTGCTTTACATGACTTTCTAACATGCATTCAATGTTTGTTGATATAATTGTTAGGGTTCAAGTAAAGATATACTAGTACAGTAGTAAATAAAAAAAGAAAAAGTCAACATCACAATTCTACGTAAGGTTACTAATTGTTTTTTCGATGGTCTACGTTTCTTCTTTCTCCTTTTCTTCATGTTCACTAGTTCTTGCTCTTCTTCTCACTCCTAGTCCTTCTCTCTCTGTCTCTCTGTCTCTCTCTCCCGCTCTCTCACTATCTCTCTATCTCCATCTCTCTCTCTCTTTCTCTCTCTCTCTCTATCTCTCCCCTCTCTCTCTCTACCTCTCTTCCTCAGGCTCTCACACACGCACGCACACAGACACACACACCATTTCCAACTCTCTCGTCATTATCCATCTCACGTTCTGTCAACAATTATTAAACGATGATTCAACACCACAAACATAATAATTGTGACCTCGATTAAAATTGT